CAGTTTCTTCATGTGGGCACTTAGTGCTATGAATTTTCCTCTTAGCACTGCTTTCAAAGTGTCCCATAAGTTGTGTCTTCTCATTGAATTCTAGAAAGTCTTTAATTCCTTTTTTCATTTCTTCCTTGACCCAGCAGTAGTGCAATTGTGCATTATTCAATTTCCATGAGTTTATAAGGTTTCTGCAACTTGTGTTGTTGTTGAATTCTAACTTTAAAGCATAGTGGTCTTATAATACACAGGGAGTTGTTCCATTTTTTTTGTATCTGTGGAGGTTTGCTATGTTTCCTATTATGTGGTCAATTTTAGAGAAGGTTCCATGTGGTGCTGAGAAGAAGGTATATTTTTTGTGTTTGGATGGCATGTTCTATACATGTCTGTTAAACCCAGTTGGGTCATAACTTCTATTAGTTTCTTTGTTTCTTTGTTAAATTTCTGTCTGTGGTCCTGTCTGGCAATGAGAGTGGGATGTTGAAGTCAACCACTATATGTGTGTGAAGGTTTTATGTGTGATTTGAGTTTTAGTAATGTTTCTTTTACTAATGTGGATGCCTTTGTACTTGAGGCATAGATGTTCAGAGTTGAGACTTCATCCTGATGGATTTCTCCTGTGATGAATATGAAATGACCTCCTTCATCTCTTTGGATTGATTTTCATTTAAAGCCTAATTTGTTAGATACTAGGATTGCTATCCCCACTTGTTTCTTGAGTCCATTTGATTGGCAAATCTTTTCCAAATCCTTAACCCTGAGGTACCATCCACCTTTGAAGTTGAGGTGTGTTGGGTGGATTCTGTCTTTGTATCCATTCTGTTAGCCTGTGCCTTTTTATAGGCAATTTAAAACCATTAATATTGAGGAATATTAATGACTATTACTTGTTCATTCTTCTTTGTTTTGCATTTGTTGGTGGGGGTGGAATATTATTGTGTGTATTTACACCCCCTTTTCTTTTGGCTGTTAGTAAACTGGGACTATCTAATACGTTTTCTGGTTGTGGTTAACTTCCTTGGGTTAGAGTTTCGCTTCCATAAATTTCTGTAGGGCTGGATTAGTGGATATGTATTTTTTAAATCTGGTTTTCTCATGGAATATCTTGTTTTCTCCATCTATATCGATTGAAAGCTTTGCTGGGTATAGTAGTCCAGGTTGGCATCCACGGACTCTTAGTGTTGGTATAATATCTATCCAGGACCTTCTGGCTTTCAGGGTTTTCATAGAGAATTCAGGTGTAATTCTAATAGGTTTGCCTTTATATGTTACTTGTCCTTTAACTTTTGCTACTCTTAATATTCTGTTTATTTGGGTTTTGATTAGCATGTGACTAGAGGAATTTTTTCTGGTCCACTCTATTTGGTATTCTGTAAGCATCTTGTACTTCCATTAGCATGTGTTTTTTTTAGGCTGGAGAAGTTTTCCTCTATGATTTTGCTGAATATATTTTCTGTCCCTTCGAAGTCGGTTTCTTTACCTTCTTCTATACCTATTATTCCCTGGTTTGATCTTTTCATGGTGTCCCATATTTCCTGGATATTTTGTGTTAGGGATTTGTTGGACTTAAGATTTTCTTTGGTCGATGAATCTATTTCTCCTAGTGTATCTTTAATGTCTGAGATTCTTTCTTCTGTCTCTTATATTCTGTTCATTATGCTTGCATCTGAAGTTTCTGACCATTTACCAAACTTTCCTATTTCCATCATTCCCTTAGTTTGTGTTTACTTTATTGTCTCTATTTCAATTTTATGTCTTGAATTGTTTGAATTGTTTCCTTCATCTACCTAATTGGTTTTCCTTGTCTTTCCTTGCTTTCTTTAAGAGATTTGTTTATTTCTTGTATTTTGGGGTTTTTTCTTCCATTTCTATTACTTTCATGAAGTTGTTTTTAAGAGCATTCTCTTCTGCTTCGTCTGTGTTGGGATGTTCAGGTCTTGCTGGTGTAGAGTTCCTAGACTCTGGTGGAGTCATATTGGTTTTTCTGTTGTTGAATAGTTTTTATATTGCCTTCTTCCCATGCCTTCTTCCAGTGGATGCAGGAAGAGTCTTTTCCTCTCCTGGTGGGTATGGATCCAAGATTCCCTTCTAGTGGGTACAGCCAGGACCAATATTCCAATGAATCTCCTCTTCTTGTGGATGGAGGTGGGACTAGTACCAAGGTCTTGGCAGTCTCTAGGTCTCTGGGTGACCTGGACCACCAGTATGGGTTCCCTAGTGTGCAGTACCCAGGACTCAGGCAGCCCCGAGCAGGGCACAGAAAACACAAACCAATTCTTTGTTGACTTCAAATTCCTTGCCATGGTTAATCTTAAACTTCAGAAATTAGAGTACACCCCTGTGTTGCTGTTACTTACCATTAATGTGCTGAGGTAATAAGTACAGTTGACTTTTGTCATTAGAGATATTTTTCAAGATGTGGGAAATTTTCAGTTTTAACTTTTAAGATTTATAGAAGTACTTAGAATTTGGCTCATTTTTTTCAGTTATTGTTAGACTACCCCCCCCCCGATATCTAAAAATTTAGTGTTAACTTTTAATAAGGATGTGGTGCTTAGGATTAGTCTCAGATCACAATGTGTCAGGGCTAGAAATGCTAATTTGCAGTATTGGATCTGGCTGGGCCTTGCAGGAGATGCTCAAAACAAACACTTATAGTTTGTCTTTAGTAAATGAAGAAGACATGAAAAGCATTAGCAAATTGAAGGATTGGAAACAGTGAAAACCAAAACCCTTGGTTATGGTTATTAGTTTAGTGTTGTCTTGAGTCTAGTGCCCACAGATTCTTAAAAGAATTTCACTTTTTAACATGAATGGAATCCTTGGGTATTTTACAGTATGCTTACTAGACATAAAGTCCTTTGCTTCATATTCAAACGATTTTTTATAGCTTGATCATTTCCAAACTTTACAACTCCCCACAGGTAAAAGTCTACTTGACTATGTCACAAAGGAAAAAAAAAGAAAAATTACAATGAAGTTACACTTATCTGTACACTTTCACTCTGTTTCTTTATTCTTTTTCTTTTTTTTTTTTGGTTTTTTAAGACAGGGTTTCTCTGTAGCTTTGGAGTCTGTCCTGCAATTCACTCTGAAGGTTAGGCTGGCCTCAGACTCTACAGAGATCTTCCTGCCTCTGCCTCATGAGTGCTGGGATTGAAGGAGTGCACCACCACCATTCAGCTCACTGTTTCTTGTATCACTAAAAGTTCAGGCATTATATATAGAGAGAGTTTTTCTATTGCTCTGGATTTCTGCTATGCCAAGATAGTGCTCAGAGTCCTCACAGAGCTGTATGATTTAAACTACAGTAAATTGCCAAAATGCAGAGACATATTCCAGCTACAGGTTATCAAGTGTGGTCATTTTGAAGCTTGACTTTTTTTGGCTTTGATTTCAAGTCTCCAAGTAGGTGTTGAAGTATCTCTGATGTTGATTTCTCCTGTAAAACGAGACTAACTACTTCCCACCCACCTTCATTGTATCCTAGACTCCATTGTCTTTGATGCTCTTTGAATTTCTTACCGGCTTATGCTACTCATAGAAAATCAGCAACAATTTCATGCTTATACCAAAGATCTAAATCTGATCCTTAATGTCTGTTATTTGCCAGTACTTCTACTTGATAAGGGATTTTTGGAAGCCAATCATAGAACTTGAAAATAAACTCTTGTTTCTCCTTAGATGTGATGCTTTTCATTGAGGCCAAGGACTTATTATAAAACATTTTTTCCAATATGAATATTTATATTTGGTTCAGCAACAAAACATTTTAGAGTGGTTTGCTGGTGGCTTATTTTAAAGCAAAGGAAAAGCAACTGAGCATGAACACTTTCTTTGGAACAATATAAAAGTCTTTGTTTCCTGTTGTTTTAAATGTTATTATACAGAGGTATTAGTAATTCCATTTTTGGAAAATCTTAAAAATTGCCCAAATGAGGCCTCAGAAATCTCTGGGGCCTTGGGTCAGTGTTTACTACTGCATACGAATGAACTTTGGAAACCCATTCCACATGGAGGGAAGCTCTCTCAGCCTGGACACAATGGGAAGGGCCTAGGTCCTGCCCTGGATGAAATGAAAGACTCTGGAGATCCCCCCCAAAGAGGGCCTCACCCTTCCTGGGAAATAATATGGGGATTGGGTGGGGGGCTGGAAGGGGCTGGTGGAGGGACAAGGGAGGGAGAAGGGAGAAGGAGCTGGGATTGACATGTGAAGCATTGATGTTTCTAATCTAAATAAAAATATATATTGAGAAAAAAATTGCCCGAATGTACTTTGAAAAAGAGTGCCTTGGTATATTAAATGTTTGCTCTTCAAACATCTGTAGTTTAATTTTCTTTCCATGTGAATTTTGCCTTTGATACAAGTAAGATAAAACACTTGAGTTGTATATAAACAAAACAATATGCTTTGTCGAAGGAAAATTCCCTTTCTTGGATTGTTGTGTAATCATCCTTGTTCAGTTTTTGAAGCCTTTTTTATTTAAACAGGGTGCAAATTAAATTTTGCTTTGCATCAAGGTATATGCAAATCATTGATGCAGTACATCACGAAATGAAAGTTTGTAATTAGTGAGGTTCTTTGCCCTGTACTCTTTGGTGGTTTTTTTGGACAAGTTACATTAGGTTTATTATGAAGCTATTCATTTTTGAGAGATAAAATGTAACAGGTTTCACTTGAGTCATTCTGAGCCATAAAGGAAAAAAGTGAAAAGGAATAAATCAAACCCATAAGTAAATTTGTATTTCTCATGGCTAGTATTCATACAAGTCTTCTCCCACCTGTCCCAGAAAAAGATGAGGACAGATGAGACAGACACGGATGGGATTGTGCAATGTCAACCATGAAAGACTTGATTGCATAACATACTACCTGGCCTAGCCACAGCCTTGGGGAAGTCAGAGATTGCTGTGTGAGGAGGGCATTTCCCCTTCCTGTGTGCTCCACCAAGACAACTATAACATGAGTTGTACCCAGCCTCTGGAGACCACACACTCTGTCTCTGGCCAATCTGGGCGATCTGTAGCTCTGACCACAAGCACAGTCGCAGCCTCCAGCAGGAGATGCCATGACCTTCACCTTCACAGCTCTGCTCTGTCTGGGTGAGACATGGATAGGTGGTGGTGATGCTGTATTCTGGGGTTGATGCTGCCCCCACAGTCTAGCACTGGCCCATCAGGAAACCCTAGTGTCTCCAGAGTTTCTGAAGAAGGAAGGACCTGTTCAAGCTTCAGGGACAAAATTCTCACAGGGAACTCTCTTCCAGGACTGACTCTGGGCCATGGGACACCAGTGCTGGCAGGTGAGTGAAAGTCTGATGATGTCTTGACATCATTTGTCATCATTCCTAGAGTCTTACTTGACAATGAGAATGGAAACCAATGTGTGTTTGCTACCCCTGGGGATGGCTGGAGGGATTTGGTTGAGGCCTGCAATCTGAGGATGGCTGACCTGGATCCCAGCTGACCTTTTCCTTGCAGGGACCATCCCTAAGCCTGTCCTCAGAGCACAGCCAGACTCTGTGGTGTCTGTACAGACCGCGGTAACCTTCTCGTGTGAGGGGACCACAGGTGCCCAAGAATACACTCTCTATAAAGATGGATACAAATATTTAAGGCACACAGAGATTTCACAGAATCCTAAGAACAAGGCTGAATTCTCAATCCCAAGCATACACCACCAGCACGCGGGGCGATATCACTGCCACTATCGGACTCATGATGAATGGTCAGAATACAGTGACACCTTGGAGCTGGCCGTTACAGGTAAGGGGACAAACATGGTTCCCAGCCTCAGGCTTCACTGTTCACAGTAACATCCCCACCTCAGCCCTGGAGGATAATGAAGCCTAATACACTTAATTGATTCCTATTTTCTCTTAGGGGCCTACAGTAAACCCAGTCTGTCAGCCCAGCTCAACCCTATGGTGACAGAAGGAGGAAATGTCACCCTCCAGTGTGTCTCAAGGCAACGACATCACGGGTTCATTCTGACTAAGGAAGGACCACAGAAGCAATCCTGGGCACTGGACTCACAGTATAACTACTCTACTCGGCAGTACCAGGCTCTGTTCAATCTAGGCCCTGTGACCTCCAGCCAGAGGTGGACATTCAGATGCTACAGCTTTAAAAAGTACAGCCCACTGGTGTGGTCAGAACCTAGTGACCCCCTGGAGCTCCTGGTCTCAGGTGGGGAACCCCCGCATTTCCCTGGAATGATGCTGGAATGACACAGGTGCTGGGAGAGGCCTCGCTGTGTGGTGTGTGGGAGGAGCCAGGGCTCCTGAGCCCAGTGACACAGCACAAGGGACAGAGGGACATAAGACACAGATTCCAAGGCAGACAGTGGCAGCAGAGTCTGGGAGGTCCTGGGAAGAGATAACTCTTCCTGGAACCCTCTGTTGCCAGGAGTCAGCCCGTGTACCATCCACAAAAGTTCATGGAACCCCACAGAAGAGAAGGAGAAGGGACTGTGTGAGCCAGAGCACTCGGGACATTGGGAGAACAGAGCAGGGATAAAAAGGGCTCACAAAAGCTGACACAGCAACCACAGAGCCTTGCTCTAACCCCTCTACATGTGTGCTGTGGTCATTTACCTTGGGTGTTTTGTTTGGTTTAGTTTGGTTTGGTTTGGTTTTTGTAGAGTTTCACTGTGTATCGCTGTCTGCCATGGAAGTCACCCTGTAGACCGGGCTGGCCTTGAACTCACAGAGATCTGATTGCATCTCTTTCCTGGGTACCAAAATAAAAGGCATTCATCACCACTGCCTGGCTAAGTTGGGGGTTTTGTAAGACTCATAACAATGGGAGTGGAGATGTCTCTGACTCTTTTGCTACAAAGGGAAGCTTTTCCTCATACTGGGATACCTTCTCAAGTCTTTTTCTTTTCACTTTTATTACATTTTTTATCATTTTTTATTTTAATTTTAAATAGCTTGTTTTACATGTCAATCCCAGTTCCCTCTCCCTCCCCTCCTCCCGCACTCCCCTTCCCCCTCCCTCCCACCCTATTGCCAAATCCTTCCACATAGGGGATATCTAGAGTCTGTCATTTTACTCTTGGTAGGGTCCAGGCACTGCCCTAAGAGTCCAGGCTGAGAGAGCATCTCTCTTTGTGCTATAGGCACACGAAGACTGTTTGTATACCAGGGATAGACACTGATCCACAGCTCAGGGCCCCATAGGTTGCCCAGGCCTTCTCGCTGACACTCACATTTGGGGGGTCTGGATCAGTCCCATGCTGGCCTCCCAGGGGTCGGTCTAGGATCCAAGAGCTCCCCCTGTTCAGATCAGCTGTTTCTGCAGGTTTTGCCAGCCCATTCTTTACCCATTTGCTCATCACTCCTCTCTCTCTGTGACTGGGTTCCAGGGGTTCAGTTCAGTGTTTAATTATGGATGTTTGCCTCTGCTTCCATCAGTCACTGGATGAAGGTTCTAGAATGGCATATAAGGTAGTCGTCAAGTTCATTATTAAGGATGGACATTTAAGGTAGTCTCTTCACTATTGCTTAGTTTGCCACTTTGTGTCATCCTTGTAGATTGCTAGAGGTCTCACAGATGCCGGATCTCTCTTGAAACCTATAATGACTCCCTCTATTATGGCATTTCTCATTCTGTTCTTGCCCTGTTCTTCCCCCAACTCAAACTTCTTGTTCCCCCATGTCCTCCTATCTCTTCCTCTTCTCCCCCTCTCCTTTTCCCAGATCACACTCACACCCCCACCATGCTCCCAATCTGTTCAGGAGATCTTGCCTCATTCCTCTTCTCTGGGGTACCATGAATATCTTTCTTAGGTTCTTTCCTGCTTCCCAAACTCTCTGTCAGTAAAATTGCAGACTGGCACTATACTGATCCATGTCTAAAATCCATATATGAATAAGTACACACCATTTTTGTCTTTTTGTGACTGGGTTTCTTTTAGTGCCATCCATTGGCCTGAAAATTTCAAGATTCCATTGTTTGTTTTTCCTCTGACTAGTACTCCATTTTGTAAATGTACCATATTTTCTCTATTCACTCTTCAGTTGGCAGGCATTTAGGTTGCGTCCAGGTCTGGCTATTACAAATAATGCTGCTATGAATATAGTGAAGCAGATGTCCTTATTGTGTGAATTTGCATCTTTTGGATATATGACTGAGAGTGGAATTGCTGGGTCTTGTGGTAGACTGATTCCCATTTTCCTGAGGAATCTCCATCCTGATTTCCAAAGTGGCTGTATGAGTTGGCATTACCATCAGCAGTGGAGTAGAGTGTCCCCCATTCACCACATCCTCTCCAGCATAAATTATCATTGGTGTCTTTGATTTTATCCATTCTGACAGGGGTGAGATGGTATCTCAGGGTTGTTTTGATTTGCATTTCCCTGATGGCTAAGGATGTTCAGCACTTTCTCAAGTGCCTCTCAGCCATTTTAGACTCCTCTATTGAGAATTCTCTAGTTGGCTCTGTATCCCATTTTTAACTGGATCCTTTGGTATTCTGGAGACTTGATTCTTGAGTTCTTTGTAAATTTCGGAGATCAGCCCTATGTCAGATATGGGGTTAGTTAATATCTTTTCCCATTCTGTGTGCTGCCTTTTTGTCTTGTTGACTGTGTCCTTTGCCTTAAAGAGGCTCCTCAGTTTCAAGGGGTCCCATTTGTTCATTATCGATGTAGTGTCTGTGCTACTGTTGTTATGTTCAGGAAGTGGTCTCCTGTACCAACTCGTTGAAGAGTATCTCCCACTTTCTCTTCTGAAAGTTTCAGTGTGGCTGGATTCATGTTGTAGTCTTTGATTCATTTGGACTTAAGTTTGAGCAAGGCCATAGACATGGATCTATCTGCAGTCTTCTGCATACCAGTACCAAGTTACGCCAGCACAATTTTTTGAAGATGCTATCTTTTATCCATTGTATAATTTTAGCTTCTTTGTCAAAAATCAAGTGTTCATAGGTGTCTGAGTTAAAATCAGGGTTTTCAATTCTGTTCCATTGGTCTACCTGTCTATTTTTGTGCCAATACCAAACTGTTTTCAGGACTATATCTTGATAATAGAGCTTGAAGTCAAGGATGGTGATGCACCCAGAAGTTCCTTTATTGTACAGAGTTACTTTGGCTATCCTAGGTCTGCGTTTTTCCATATATCGTTGATTATTGTTCTTTCAAGGTCTGTGAAGAATTGTGCCGATATTTTGATAGGGATTGCATTGAATATGTAGATTGCTTTTGGCAAGATTGCCATTTTTATTATGCTGATCCTATCAATCCAACAGCACGGGAAATCTTTCCATTTTCTGGTGTCTTCTTTAATTTCTTTCTTTAGAGACTCAAAGTTCTTGAAACACAGGACTTTTACTTCTTTGGTTAACATTATCTCCATATATTTGACTCTGTTTATGGTTATTGTAAAGGGTGATGTTTCTCTGATTTTTCCCAGCCAATTTATCAACTGCATATAATAGGGATGCTGATTTTTTTAATTAACCTTGTATCCTGCCACTTTGCTGAAGGTGTTTATCAGCTTAGGAGTTCCCTTGCAAAGTTTTACAGGTCTCTTGTGTAACTTATCATATCATCTGTAAATACTATAAGTTTGACTTCTTCCTTTCCAATCTGTATCCCCTTGCTCTCCTTTTGTTGTCTTACTGCTTTAGTTAGAATTTCAACTACAATATTGAAGACATATGGAGAGAGTGGACATCCCTGTCTTGTTTCTGATTTTAGAGGAATTGCTTTGAGTTTCTCTCTATTTAGTTTGGTGTTAACTCTTGGTTTACTGTACATTGCTTTTATTATGTTCAGGAAAGTTCCAGTTATCCCTGATCTCTCTAGGACCTTTATCATGAAGGGGTGCTGGATTTTGTCAAAGGCTTTTTCAGCATCTATGAGAAGATCATGTGTTTTTTTCCTTTGTAGTTTGTTTATATGGTAGATTACATTAATAGGTTTTTGTTTGTTGAACCATCCCTTCATCCCTGGGATGAAGCCTACTTGATCATGGTGGATGATTTTTCCAATGTGTCCTTGGATTTGATTTACTAGTATTTTATTGAGTATTTTTGCATTGATGTTCATGAGGAAAATTGATCTTTAGTTCTCTTTCTTAGTTGTGTCTTTGTGTGGCTTGTGTACCAAAGTAATTGTAGCCTGATAAAAAGAGTTTGGCAATGAACCTCCTGCTTATATTGTGTGGAACACTTTGAGGAGTATTGGAATTAGCTCTTCTTTGAATTTCTGGTAGAATTCTGTACTGAAGCCATCTGGGCCAGGGCTTTTTTTGGTTGGAAGACTTTTGATGACTGCTTCTATTTCATTAAATGTTATAGGTTTTTTATTATTAATTCTTTATTTTAATTTTAAATAGCTTGTTTTACATGTCAATCCCAGTTCCCTCTCCCTCCCCTCCTCCCGCACCCCTCCCACCATCCCCCCATCCTCCCACCCTATTGCCAATTTCTTCCACATAGGGGATATCTAGAGTCTATCATTTCATTCAGAGTAGGGTCCAGACACTTCCCTAAGAGTCCAGGCTGAGAGAGCAACTCTCTTTGTGTTGTGGACACACGATGTCTGTTAGTATTCGAGGGATAAACACTGATCTACTGCTCAGGACCCCATAAGTAGCCCAGGCCTCCACATTGACTCTCACATTGAGGGGGTCTGGATCAGGCCCCTGCTGGCCTCCCAGCTTTCGGTCTGGGGTCCAAGAGCTCTCCCCTGTTCAGATCAGCTGTCTCTGCTGGTTTTGCCAGACCATTCTTTGCCAATTTGCTCTTCGCTCCTCTCTCTGTTGCTGGGTTCCTTGGGTTCTGTTCAGTATTTAACTGTGGGTGTTTGCCTTTGCTTCCATCAGTCACTGGATGAAGGCTTCAGGATGGTTATAGACATCAAGTTCATTATCAGGAATAGGCATTCGAGGTGGTCTCTACACTATTGCTTAGCTTGCCAATTGGTGTCATCCTTTAAGATCACAAGAGGTCACAATGGTGCCTGATCTATCTTCTAATCTATGATTCCCTCTTCCCCATATCCTACCCCCCTCCATTCGATCTTCCTGTTCCTCCACGTCTTACTCTCTCTTCCACTTTTCCCCCTCTCTACTTCCCAGGTCCCCCTCCCCACTACCCCTCGCTGTGTTCCCCATCTGTCCAGAGGATCTTGCCTCATTTCTCTTCTCTTGGGTACCATGTATATCTTTTAGGTTCTTTCCTGTTTCCCAGACTCTCTGTCAGTGGAAGTGCAGACTGACACTCTCCTGATCCATGTTTAAAATCCATATATGAGTGAGTACATACCATGTTTGTCTTTTTGTGACTGGGTTACCTCACTCAGGATGGTTTCTTCCAGTGCTATCCATTTACCTGCGAATTTCAAGATTCCATTGTTTTTTTCTTCTGAGTAATACTCCATTGTGTAAATGTACCACATTTTCTCTATCCACTGTTCAGTTGAGGGGCATCTAGGTTGCTTCCAGGTTCTGACTATTACAAATAATGCCACTATGAACATAGTGGAGCCAGGTTTGTTTAGATTGTTTATCTGTTCTTATTTTGTTTTGGCAAAACTAAACAGTGGTATCTATCCAGGAAATTGTCCATTTCCTTTAAATTTTCAAATTTTGTGGAGTACAAGTTTACAAAGTATGACTTGGTGTTTATCTGGATTTGCTCAGTGTTCATTGTTACGTTCCTCTTATCATTTCTGATTTGGTCATTAGCATGCTCTCTCTCTGCCTTTCAGTTAGTTTCGACAAAGGTTTGTCTATCTTGTTGATTTTTTCAAAGAACTAACTCTTTGTTTCATTGATTCTTTGCAATGTTTTCCTGGTTTCTACTTGATTGATTTCAGCCCTCAATTTTATTATTTCCGGGTGTCTACTCCTCCTGGATGAGTTTGCTTCTTTTTGTTCTAGAGTTTTCAGTTGTGCTATTAATTCTCTAGTGTGACTGTTCTCCAGTTTCTTCATGTGGGCACTTAGTGCTATGAACTTTCCCTTCAGCACTGCTTTCAGAGTGTCACATATGTTTGGGTATGTTGTGTCTTCATTCTCATGGCATTCCTGGAAGTCTTTAATTTCTTTTTTTATTTCTTCCTTTACCCAGGGATGGTGCAATTGTGCATTGTTCAATTTTCCATGAGTTTGTAGGGTTTCTGCGATTTGTGTTATTGCTGAAATCTAATTTAAACGCATGGTCATCTGATAAGATACAGAGGGCTATTTCAATTTTTTGTATCTGTGGAGGTTTGCTATGTTCCAATTATGTGGTCAAATTTAGAGAAGGTTCCATGTGGAGCTTTGTGTTTTGATGGAATGTTCTATAGATGTTTGTTAAACACAGTTGGGACATAATTCTGTTAGTTCTTTTGTTTCTTTGTTAAGTTTCTGTATGGTGGTCCTGTCTCTTTGTGAGAGCAGAGTGTTGAAGTCTTGAAGTCTCCTACCACTAGTGTGAGAGATTTTATGTGCAATTTGAACTTTCGTAATGTTTCTTTCACGAATGTGGGTACCTTTGTATTTGGGGCATAGATGTTCAGAACTGAGACTTCATCTTGATGGACTTTTCCTTTGATGAATATGAAATGTTCTTCTTCATCTCTTTTGATTGATTTTAATTTTAATTTGATGTCTAATTTGTTAGATATTAGGATTGCTGCACCAGATTGTTTCTTGGGTCCATTCGATTGGAAAATCTTTTTCCAGCCCTTTACTCTGAGGTAACATCTGTCTTTGACATTGAGATGTGTTTTATGTATGTAGCAGAAGGATGGGTTCTGTCTTTGTATCCATTCTGCTAGTCTGTGTCTTTTTATAGGAAAGTTGAGACTGTTGATATTGAGGGATATCACTGAGCATTGTTTGTTGATTCTTGTTTGTTTTTTATTTATTGGTGGTGATGCTTTTGTGTGCAGGATTTCCTCCCTTTTTCTTTTGGTGTTTGGTAAAGTGGAATTATCTATTGACTATGTCTTTGTGAGTGTGGTTATCCTCGTTGAGTTGAAGTTTTCCTTCCAGCGCTTTCTGTAGGGCTGGATATGTATTGTTTAAATCTGGCTTTGTTGTGGAATATTTTGTTTTCTCCATCTATGATAACTGAAAGCTTTCCTGGATACAGTAGTATGGGCTGGCATCCCTGTTCCCTTAGCGTCTGTAGGACATCTGTCCAGGATCTTCTGGCTTTCATAGTTTCCATTGAGAAGTCTAGTGTAATTCAAATAGGTCTGCCTTTATATGTTACTTAGCCATTTTCTTTAGTTGTTCTTAATATTTTCTCTTTATTCTGTAGGTTTGATGTTTTGATTATTATATGGCTAAGGGACTTCTTTTTCTGGTCCAGTCTATTTGGTGTTCTGTAAGATTCTTGTATTTTCATAGGCATATCCTTCTTTAGGTTAAGGAAGTTTTCTTCTACGATTTTGTTGAAGATGTTTTCTGTACTACCTATGAGCTGTATTTCTTTACCTTCTTCTATAGTTATTATTCTCAGGTTTGGCTTCTTCACGTTTCCTGGATATTTTGTGTTAGGGATTTGTTGGTTTTGAGATTTTCTTTGGTTGGTGACTATATATCCTCTAATGAGTCTTCAACACCTGAAATTCTCTCTTCTATCTCTTGTATTCTATTGGTTATACTTGCATCTGTAGTTCCTGATCATTTACCCAGTTCTTCTATTTCCAGTATCCCCTCATTCTGTGTTTGCTTTATTGTTACTATTTCAACTTTCAATCCCTCAACTATTTGAGTTGTTTCCATCATTTGTTTATTTCTTCTTGGCTTTCTTTAGATTCTTTAAGAGATTTATTTCTTGAATTTTTGGTTCATCTTTTCCTCCATTTCATGCATTTTGTTAGCTTTTTCTTCTATTTCTTTAAGGGATTTCCTCTTTGAGAGTCTCTTTCATCTTCATAAAATAATTTTTAAGGTTTGTCTCTTCTGTTTCTTCTGTGTTATGCCTTTCAGGTCTTGCTGGCATGGGGTCTCTAGATTCTGGTGGAGTCATATTGGTCTTTATATTGCTGAGTGTGTTCTTATACTGTCTTCTTTCCATCCCTTCTTCCATTGGCACAGGTGGTGTCTTTCTGTCTCCACTTGTCTCCTTCTTTCCTGAAGCTGGGCATGCTGGGGAAGTGGGGTCTGGAAGGACTCATGTCTTTCCTTTGTGGGTGGGTCCTCTTGATGCCAGGAGCAGCCCCAGAGATTGTGGGAGCCAGTGATGGGTGGGTAAGTCGACCCCAGGACCCTAGCTCACCTGAAGCTGGGCATGCCAGGGGTAGGGTATGGAAAGACTGATGCCTTTCCTGTTTGGGCAGCTCCTCTTGAAGCCAGAAGTAGCCCCTGGAAGATTGAGGGAGTAGGTGATGGGCAGCAAAGGGGTCCCAGGAGGACCCAAGATCACCTGGAGTCAGGCATGCAGGTGTGGGGAGAGCTGTGGGTTGGGTCTGGGAGGACTGACATCTTTCCTGTGCAGGCAGGTCCTCTCAATGCCAGGAGCAGCCCCCGGAAGATTGAGGGAATAGGTGATGGGTGGGGAAGGGGTCCCTAGGCAGACCCAAGGTCACCTGGAGCTGGGCATGCTGGAGGGTGGGGTCTGGAAGGGCTCACATCTTTCCTTTGTGGGCGTGTTCTCTGGATGCAGGAGCAGCCCCCTGGAAGATTGAGGGAGTGGGTAATGTGCAGGGAAAGGATCCCCAGGAGGATTCATGGTCATCTGGAACTGTGCATGCAGGTGTGGGGAGAGCTGGCACCTTCTCAAGTCTAAATATAAGGGTATTTGCATAGTCTTATTGCATGCTGTTATGTCATGTTCAGTTAATGTCAATGGGAAGCCTGCTCTGTTCTGAAGGAAAAATAGGAGCAGTGGATATGGGAGAGAGAAGAGGTAGCTGCTGTCAGGATGTATTATATGAGAAAATAATACGTTAAAAAACATAAGTGCCTTCCTCAACTGCGAAATTCTCTGTACCATTTTCAGACATACCCATCTCTTTCTCTCTTACTTCTTTGCAGGGGACCTTAACAAACCTGCTATTAAGGTTGAACCAGGCTCTGTGATCTCCTCAGGAAGCCCCATGACAATCTGGTGTCAGGGGTTCATGAGTGCTGAAATGTGTGTTCCAAATAAAGAAGGAAGCCCAAAACCCTGGGAAACACAGTCCCCAGAAAAGCCTGAGAACAATGCCAAGCTCTCCATTCCTTCTGTGACACAGCAATTTGCAGGGAAATATCACTGTTATTGTTACAGCTCAGCTGGCTGGTCAGAGCCCAGTGACTCCCTGGAACTGGTGGTGACAGGTGAGAGGACAGTCAGAGTCTCAGCCCCAGGCTCAGCTCTCAGAAGTACCCCATCCCAAAGCCTAGCCCTGGACAGCATTTTGACTGTGTGAGCCCATCTGACAGGATGCTCCTTCCCTTCTAGGAATCTACAACACTAAACCCCACCTGACAGCAATGCCCAGCCTTGTGGTGACCTCAGGAGGAAACATGACTCTCCAGTGTGTCTCATGGGTGGGATATGACAAGTTCATTCTCACTAAAGGAGATCAGAGATTCTCCAGCTCCCTGAACTCTCAGTATATACACAGTATTAGGCAGTACCAAGCCTATTTCTCTATAGCTCATATGACCCCAGATAATACAGGGACATTCTACTGCTATGGTTACTACAAGCAAAGCCCACAGCTGTGGTCAGTACCAAGTGAGCCTCTGGAAATACACATCTCAGGTGAGTCAGCCCCATCACTGACCAATCATTTCTTGACACCCTATACCCATTGCCGTAGACCTGTACTGCTGAGTAGTTACAGATAAATAGTATATAAGGAAGATCCTTGTGTCTGATCCAAAGCCATATAACTGGGAAAAATCAGTGACACGTGCAGGATAGGATGGGAGGGAAAAGGCATTTGCTAAAAATCGGCTCCCTAGTTCCCTAGTCCCTAGCCTGTCACCTTCCCTCTAGGCATGTCCAAGAAGCCCTCTCTGCTGACTCACCAAGGTCATATCCTGAACCCTGGAAAGAGCCTCACCCTGCAGTGTTGCTCTGATATCAACTATGACAGATTTGCTCTGTACAAGGTGGGAGAAACAGAATTCACCCAAGAGTATGGCCAGAGGACCCAGGCTGGCCTCTCCTTGATCAACTTCACACTGGGTTCTGTGAGCAGCTCTGTGGGAGCTCAATACAGATGCTATGGTGCACACAACCTCTCCTCTGAGTGGTCAGCCTCCAGTGATCCCCTGGACATCATGATCACAGGTGAGGAATCAAAAAGATTCAACAGAGTATCTAGCCCCTCATGGGGGATTTAAGGAGGTGATGACAGGGATGAAGGACAGGGTCTTATTTGGTAGCAGATATAGATACATGGGAGCAGGAGAGGGGCTCAGACAGAGAAATCAGTTCCAGGTGTTCAAGGAAGACTCAGGCGAGGTGTCACTCAGAACAAAGGCAGCCTCTCATCCTCATCCCTCTTCTCTTTAGAACAGCTTTCTTTCACCCCTTCCCTCTCAGTGAAGCCTAACTCAACAGCACACTCAGGAGACAACGTCACCCTGCTGTGTCAGTCAACATACAAAGCGGACACTTTCATTCTTTCCAAGGAGGGAGCAACACACCAACCCCAGCGAATGAGATCTAAGTTCCAAGATTGGGAGTTCCAAGCAGAATTCTCCATGAGTGCTGTGACCACTGTGCTCTCAGGCACCTACAGGTGCTATGGTTCTTGGGACTCATCTCCGCACCTGCTGTCACATGGCAGTGCCCCTGTGGAGCTCATTGTCTCAGGTGAGGTAAACCTGAACTGTCATGGAGGCATACAATTCAAACCCTAGGAGAACCCTTGGCTTGGTGTGATTTAAGGGGCAGTATGAAGGATTAGTCAGAAGGCACTGTCTCTTCTACAGAAGTAGATGCCAAAAGTGTTCCCTCATGTTTTGCCAACTCCATCCTCTATTGAAAGCCAGGACTGGGGTAGACTGCATTAGGATCTCGGGGAGGTTGCAGGGAAGATGTAGAAGATGATAAGATGCAGGTCCCTGGGAGAGCATCTAACTCTCACACTCCTCTTGTTCTTTTTACCTAGGACACGTTAGAGCCTCCAGTTTGCCACCCTCAAGGCCTACACCAACAGTTGGTGAGTGTCAGGCAACTAAATGTATGGAGTATGCTCTAACCCCAGGTAGCCTGTGAGCTGATCACCTAGAAAACTCATTTCTCTGTCACTCCAGCTTGTTAGTGTGGGAGGCAAACAGATACCAACAGAGAACAAAGAAACAGAAAGTTTAGTTGGTGTTACAGAAGGTACATCTAGAGAGATGATTAGGCTCAGCATGGAGGATGGGCCAGGTGGGTGAGGTAGAAAGCATGTATTCCAGACACCTACCTCCTTATCCTGACACTAAGATCCTGAGAACAAACCTCTCAGCTGCATAAAATCAGTCCCCAGAAGGCTATGTGAAGACTCTGTTAAAATGTGGGGCCATGGTGGACGGTAGCTAGTTATGGGCTTGATGTAGCTGCTTCTGGAGATCCTGATTTGAACAAATCCCTCTGTCTCTGGACTACTTCACTGCATCAGGAAGGGAGAAATGTTGCACGCACCTTTAAATTCCTTTCAGTGCAGGCTTAGTTGTGATTTCTCACTACAGAAGAATCTTCCAGACTCTGCAGGAGATATTTCCCACAGTCCCTATGATTTGCACAAGAGTGAGGCACAGGGCCATGGAAGAACATTAAGGCCCCTTCTTCTAGATCACAGAGCACAGTTCTAGTATTCTTCAAGAGTTCTGTGACCTCCACTCTCATGGACACCTAAAGGTGCTCTGGATAACTCAACGCACCTAGTTACCTACCGTCATGGGCTAGTGTACTCATGGAGCTCATGGTCCCAGATGAGGTGTTCCTGATCATTCTGAGCTGAATGACTACCTGAGCACTCTTACATTCCCTCAGTTATTAACTAGGATTGGATTGCAAATGATGCAGAGGGTCAGCCAGATAGATGTTCACACTCATGATGATGGAGGCCAACATGAATATTTTAGGAATGCTCACTACAAACCAAGGTAGTGGGAGGCAGAATGTTTAAGGTAGTCCAAAGGAGCATCTTGGGAGGTCACAGACCGACATAGGTAAAGTAGAAAACAAGCCAGTGTACCAAACTCTGCTCATCACTGGCCTCTTGGCAGCATTCACCACCCTTACTCTCAGTGCATCCACGGTACACAGTGTCTCAAGATGCGGAGGTAGCCTTGCTGTAATAGGTACAAATCTTGCTATATACTCCTTCTGTTAAAAGCAGGTCCATGTCTGTTGCTGTACCCTCTCAGACAGAATTTGTTTAAAGAATCTGAACATGAAAATGATCATATTAAGCGAAACAAAATCCAGCAGTCTCAACCAAAACCTACTGCTTTGTGGAGTCTTTGACATTTCATTTCAAGGTGAAATATAGGACTGTATGGATTCAGCCACTTTTTGAAAGGTGACAGTAAGAATGTCTGCTTCTTATCCTTAGTGAACCCCTCTGAGCAAAGGAAGGTTTGGGAATAGGATTTCCAGGGACTACCACCACTGACACTTGAGTCTCATAAAGTGGTAGGAAGTCTACACTACTCTCTCCTCACAATACATCCTGTCCTGTTTGCCTCAGTAACTATTATTTGCAAAGATGACAAAAGTAAACGATAGATACGTCAGTCTTGGAATATTTGATTAATGTGAGATAATCATGCTATTTGGGGAAACTATTAGGTGAAAGCCCGATTGCTTACAATCTACTATCATCCCTGGTTCACAAACACATGCATACTCATTTCACAACATCTCTTGAAATCCAGGACTGCAAAACATTCTGCAAGACACTGGCCCAAAATCTTGGTGTGACATTTCTGAAATGATATGTAAAAGAAAACATACGGAGGATGATCTACATCAGAAACATGTGCTCCTATATGAACTGGACATTGAGAAATTTCTTGGTCTGATCTGGGGAGGAAAAGCAGGAAAAGTTTAGTAACACGACATGGGTTCTCAATATTAGCAAAAAACTTCTCTCATTTCGGAGAAGCTATAAGGTAGTTTCTCCTCAACCACCCCTCAGTGGTCCCTAGGTATTCATAACATTTCAGGAGATGGCTCAGATCACAGGACATAATGGGAGGTCTAAGTATGACAAGGGAACAAACACTCAGCAAAAACTCGTTGAGGAAATCATCCTAGACTGAGCACCTGAGTCTATAGAACCTCTGCTGAGCTGACCACAGACACCAAACTCAGACACCGCTGGGGCTACTCGGTGCAGTGGCCCATAGACAAATGCCCTATATTGTCAAGTTATTCTACTCTGAATTTACTGGTTTCAGGGGTGTGGTCACAGTGGTGCTGATGAGTGTAATAAGAACTCCTAGTGAAAACAGGCATGTTGCTGACCATATTACTGACTTTTGGTATCTGAATCATCTACTGGCCTAAGGGTCCTATTTCTCATACTGGATCACCTTGCCCAGCCTTAATACATGGGGAAGTACTTAGTCTTACTGCAAATTTATGTACCATGTTCTGTTGATACTCATGGGAGGCCTGCCCTTTCCTAACAGAAAGAGAGAAAGGAGTGAAGTCACTGGTAGGAAATAAGTGGAGTTGGGAGGAATGACTAGGAATAGAGGTCGTAGTGGAAATTGTAGCTGGGACATTAAGTAAATAAATATATATATTATGCATTTTAAGAAAAATGGTAAGAGATGGAGCCTAGCTATATCATCAGAAAGATTCATCCCAGGTTTCATGAGTTTATAGGATGAAAATAAAGGGTATTTACAGTAAATGAGAAAGTGGAATGAAAAAGAAACCCTTTTTATTTTTAAATTTAAATTAGAAACAAGGTTGTTTCACATATCAATCCCAGCTCCCTGTCCTCTCCCTCCTCTCCTCCCACACCCTCCCACCAACCCACCACTCCCTCCCCTAATCCCCACTCCTTTCCCCAGAAATGTTGAGGCCCTCAATTGGGGGATGTCCATAGTCTGTCATTTCATCCAGGGCAGGGCCTAGGCCCTCCCCCCAAGAGTCCAGGCTGAGAGAGCATATCTATTTGTGGGATGGGAACCCAAAGCCTATTTGTATGCCAGGGATATATACTGATCTACTACCCAAGGCCCCATAGATTGCCTAGGCCTCCTCATAGACACCCATATTCAGGGGGTCTGGATTAGTCCCATACTGTATTCCCAGCCATCACTCTGGGGTTCAAGGAATCCCCCTTGTTCAGGTCAGCTGTCTCTGTGGGTTAAACAAGCCCAGTCTTGACCCCTATGCTCATCAGTCCTCCCTCTCTGTCACTGGATCCCTTGAGTTCATCTCAGTGTTTAGCTGTGGGAGTCTGCCTCTGGTTCCATCAGTCAATGGTTGAAGATTCTGTTTCCCAAACTCTCTGGCAGTGGGATTGTAGGCTGGCACTTCCCTGTTTCAGGCCTAAAATCCATATATGAGTGAATACATACCATGTTTGTATTTTTGTGACTAGGTTACCTCACTCAGGATGGTTTCTTCTAGTGCCATCCATTTGCCTGAAAATTTCAAGTTTCCATTGTTTTTTTCTGCTGAGTAATACTCCATTGTGTAAATGTACCACATTTTCTCTATCCACTCTTCAGCTGAGGGGCATCTAGGTTGCTTGAAGGTTTTGGCTGTTACAAATAATGCTGCTATGAACATAGTGGAACAGATGTCCTTGTATGAATATACATCATTTGGGTATATTCCTAACAGTGGAGTTGCTGGGTCTTGTGGTAGACTGATTCCCATTTTCTGAGGAATCTCCATACTAATTTCCAAAGTGGCTGTAAAAGTTGGCACTCCCACCAGCAGTGGAGGAATGTTCCCCTTTCTCCATATCCCCTCCAGCATAAACTGTCATTGGTATTTTTGATTTTAGCCATTCTGATAGGAGTAAGATGGTATCTCAGAGTTGTTTTGATTTGCATTTTCCTGATAGCTAGGGATATTGAGCACTTTCTTAAGTGCCTCTCAACCATTTTAGTCTCCTCTATTGAGAATTCTCTATTTAGTTCTGTATCCCACTTTTTAATTGGATCCTTTAGTGTTCTGGAGAATTGCTTCTTGAGTTCTTTGTAAATTTTGGAGATCAGCCCTCTGTCAGATGTGGGGTTATGCACACATACTCTTCTGTTCTCAGGATTAGCTGAGATTATCATTCCATCCTTGAACATTCACAAACCCAAGACAGTTGAATAGCACTGGAAACAGAGGCTGCATGATTTGTCCAGGAAAGACAGGGGTCCTGAGTGTACATTTACTTAACTTGGGGACATCTACATACCTTGAGGAAATTTTGACCAACCCTAACCTCCTACTTCTTTGTCTACAACCACAGCCTCAGAGAACAAGGATCACACAGTGGAGAATTTCATCAGGATTGGGATTGCAGTTCTGGTCCTCATAGTCCTTGGGATTCTAGTATTGGAGGCTTGGGTCTGCCAGAGAAATGCCCACCATGCAGCTGAGAAGTAATCAGAAGAGAAATAAGTACATCTCTCAAGGTTCCAGAGTCTGGCAAATAGATCTTATGATCCAACATTCTCTAAGAAAATGCAGTTCTTACATTGAGGAACTGGTATGAGAGAATATCCAGTGAGCCAGTGTGATTTGGGGGCAGAGGAATATGTGATATTTTTGTGATAAGATACTTCATTAGCAAAGGGATTTATATCCTTCCAATTTCTATGGGAATTTGCTGATGAGCCAACTTTTCTCTGGGTCTATAAAGTAAGGAAATATGTTATCCCATCTGTATGGCTTGGGTGCCCATTTCTGTACATTTTTCTTTCCCTCCATCTCATCTTTATTTTTCCATTTTTATGAACTGCAACATTCTCTATAGCAGAAGCCACTAGAAAAAAAGAAGTTGCATGAAAACAAAAATGATGAATAAAGTCAGAGCCCAGAATTAAAGTCACTCTGCCTATGATGCGTCAAACCGTTCATTATGTACAATCAAACTATCAGTCTTTAACATGTATATTCTTCATGGAGTTTCTCTTTAAATACAAAGCCAATGTCACCACAGTTGGTGGTATAAGGACTATCTGTCAATGAATATGGACATAACTTTAAAAGTGTTTTCTTAACACAAAGTCCTGATTATGGTACTTTATGACCATTCTATATAACCCCATAAAACACACCTTCACAACAGCAATGTAACATCACAGGTGTGACGTGGGGAGTATTGCATGAAACTGATGCGTTTTTTCATTCCATTCTCCATTGCCTAATTTTCATATATGCAAAAGAAGTTGACATGCTTATCAATAACCTTCCTAGGATGGCTTAACATACAGTGATTTGTAGTTTCTACATAGACTATCATATTGTCTTAAGAAAATGATATATTATTTATTTAATTCTATCTCACTTTTTGCCTATACTTGAAATGCTCTTTTACTTTACATCTGTTTATGTACTAGCTAAGTGTTCAAGTACAAAGCAGAAGGTGTGTGAAGAGAGAAGGGTCTGTTACCTTCTTCAGGATTTAGTGCAAAATTACTGCTTTCTCGCCATTCAGTATGATGTGAAATTTGTTGTTTGGGTACATGAGCTTATTGTGATCCTGGAGGTCCTCTGTTCCTAATTTTCTATAGTGTCCATGATGAATGGCTGTGGGACATGAACAAATGGTAATTCTTCAGCAAAAATTATCTCCATTACGTGTGTTTTTTATTGTAAGCTTGTTCCCAACATCAATAAAACATGGTTTGGATTTTGAATGGGATTTACATGCCTGAATAAAGTTTCACTTTTTAAGAAGTTGTTCTTTTCATTTTAGAATATATTCTCATGGTTAACAGCAGGATATGTTCTGAAGAATGATATTCTCACAAATTACATAGCATCAAGAGAATTTGCTCCCCTGAGTTTAAGTGCTGATAACATTAAGGCTTTATCTGTAGTGTCCTATCAGGAACTGTAGTTCAGATAAAAAAGGAACAGGGGGAAACACACATTGAGATTGTTTGGGAGCAGAGAAGTTGTTAGGAGGGGCTTCTTGTGAGAGAAATGAGTAATTCAGAGGAATAAGAAAATTACCAAAAACAGTCAAGAGGGAAGTGAGATCCCCAATGAGTCAGCAAAGGCTTGCATAACTGTTTCTAAACTTCTCTGCCACTATCTGTGATAACCATTGCTGAATACCCAATCAGTCTCAAGAGTGAAGAGTTTTATTCAGTTTCTCTATAGTTCCACTTTAATTTTGATACTAATCTCGAACATTCCCACCCTGACCTGTTGATATCACTGTCTCTGGGACATTGCACATGCTAAGTGTAGTGAAGTCTCAAACACATCTCTATACTCTTTTTTCATATATTTTTATTTAACTTTTTATGCATGTCACTTTCAGTTCCCTCTCCCTCCCCTTGTCCCCCACCCCCAACCCTCCCAAACCTTTACCCCCACTACATCCCCCATCTGCTCCCCAGGGAGAGCAAGGGTTTCCATGAGGGATTTTCAGAGTCTGTCACATCATCCCAGAAAGAGCCTAGGTTCTTCCCCATGTGTCCAGGCTGAGAGAGCATCCCTCCACATGGTATGGGTTCCCAGAGCACCTCTGTATGCCGGGAATAAATACTGCTCTACTCTCTAAGGTCCCACAGATTGCCAAGGCCTCCTCTATGTCCCCCAGGTTTAATGGGAGGGATATCTGGATCAGTCCCATGCTGGACCAATCATCAGTCTGGGATCCATGTGTTCCCCCTTGTTTAGGTCAGCTGCCTCTGTGGGTTTCGCCAGCCCAATCTTGATTCCTTTGGTCATCACTCCTCTTTGCAACTGGGTTCCAGAAGCTCAATTCAGTTCACAGATGTAGGTGTCTACTTCTGCCTCCATCAGCCACTAGATGAGAGTTCTGGGATGGCATATAAGGTAGTCATCATTCTCATTATCATGGGAGGGCATTTAAGGTAGCCTTAATGCCAGTTGGTGTCATTCTTGTAGATCTGTGAAGATCTCACTAGTGCTAGATCTCTCCTCCAACTTATACTGGCTCCCTCTCTTACAGTGTCTCCCATCCTTTTCTCCTCTATTCTTACCCTGGCTCAACCTTCCTGCTCTCCCATGTCCTCCTCTCCCCTCCTCTTTTCTCCCTCTCTTTCACCCATCTCCTTCTGCCCTCCATTTCTCCCCCCAATCCAAGTAGGCGATAGTATCCCCTAACCCTTCTCTAGGTTACCATGCATATCTCTCTTAGGGTCCTCCCTGCACACCAGACTCTCTGACAGTGGGATTGTGGGATGGCAATGCCCTGGTCCATGTCTAAAATCCATATATGAATGAATACATGCCATGCTTCTGTTTTTGTGACTGGGTTACCTCATTCAGGATGGTTTCTTCTAGTGCTATACAGTTGCCTGCAAACTTCAAGATTCCATTGTTTTTTTCTGCTGAGTAGTACTCCATTGTGTAAATGTACCAAATTTTCTCTATCCACTCCTCAGTTGAGGGGCATCTAGGTTGCTTCCAGGTTCCGGCTATTAAAATAATGCTGCTATGAACAAAGTTTAGCAGATGTCCTTATTGTATGAGGGTACATCTTTTGGATATATGCCTAAGAATGGAATTGCTGGATCTTGTGGTAGAATTTTTCTGAGGAATCTCTATACTGATCACCAAAGTGGTTGCACAAGTTGGCATTCTCACCAGCAGTGGAGGAGTGTACCCCTTTCTCCACATCCTCTCCAGCATAAGCTGTCATTAGTGTTTTTGATTTTAGCCATTCTGATGGGAATGAGATGGTATCTCAGAGTTGTTTTGATTTGCATTTCCCTAATGGCTAAAGATGTTGAGCACTTTCTCAAGTGTCTCTTGGCCACTTTAGACTCCTCTATTGAGAATTCTCTATTTAGTTCTGTATCCCATTTTTTAACTGGATCCTTTGGTATTCTGGAGACTTGATTCTTGAGTTCTTTGTAAATTTTGGAGATCAGCCCTCTGTCAGATGTGGGTTTGTGAATATCTTTTCCCATTCTGTGGGCTGTCATTTTTGTCTTGTTGACTGTGTCCTTTGCCTTACAGAAACTCCTCAGTTTCAGGAAGTCCCATTTATTAATTGTCGATCTCAGTGTCTGTGCTACTAGTGTTATGTTCAGGAAGTGGTCTCCTGTACCAATTCTTTCAAGGGTACTTCCCACTTTCTCCTCTAAGAGGTTCAGTGTGGCTGGAATGATGTTGAGGTCTTTTATCCATTTGTACTTAAGTTTTGTGCATGGTGATAGATATGCATCTACCTGTCGTCTTTTAAATTCCAGCATCCAGTTACTCCAGCACCATTTGTTGAAGATGCTTTCTTTTTTTCCATTGTATAGTTTTAGCTTCTTTGTCAAAGAACAGGCGTTCAAGAGTGTGTGGGTTGATATCAGGGTCTTTGATTAGATTCCATTCGCCTACCTGTCTGCGTTTGTGCCAATACCAAGCTGTTTTCAGGACTATAGCTCTATAATAGAGCTTGAAGTCAAAGATGGTGATACCTCCGGAAGTTTATTGTACAGGGTTACCTTCACTATCCTGGGTCTTTTGTTTTTCCATATGAAATTGAGGATTGTCATTTTGAGGTCGGTGAAAAATTGTGTTGGTATTTTGATAGGGATTGTATTGAATACATAGATTGCTTTTTGTAAGATTGCCATTTTTACTACGTTGATCCTACCTATCTAAGAGCATGGGAGGTCTTTCCATCTTCTTTAATTTTGTTTTTTAAAGACTCAAAGTTCTTGTTATACAAGTCTTTCACCTGTTTGGTTAGAGTTGGTCCAAGATATTTTATGATGTTTGTGGCTATTGTAAAGGGTAATGTTTCTCTGAATTCTTTCTCGTCCCGTTTATTGTCTATATATTGTAGGGCTACTGATTTTCTTGAGTTGATCTTGTATTCTGCCACTTTGCTGAAGGTGTTTATCAGCTGTAGGAGTTTCCTGGAAGAATCCTTTGGTTCACTTACATAGACTATCATATCATCTACAAATAGTGAAAGTTTGACTTCTTCTTTTCCAATTCCTATTCCCTTGATCTCTTATTGCTCTAGCTAGAACTTCAAGCACAGGGCAGAGACCAGAGGGGACTAAAGATTCAAGCACAGGGCAGGGTCTCAAGCACAGGGCAGAGAATGGAGGGCACTGAAGACTGAGGTGTGGCCAGACTCAGGGATCTGTCTATACTCTTGATCCATTCATATTCTCCAACACTGGAAGCCCTTATTCCCAATACATCCATTCCTCTGTATACTTAAGACTCTCTTCTCTCATTCTACTCTGGTTCTTAAGTGGATTCAAAGTGGAAAGCAGGAAGTCTTTTGGGGTTTTCACCCAAAAGCTATTTGACAGAAATGTCTTAGTCTAAGTTTGAGTTATTTTCTAAGCTTTGTTTTGCCTTTGATGAACTCCAAAACCTGTGAGTGCATCTCCAAACATTAAGATTAAAAGAATTTAAATGAGCTGGGCTACTGGGACTCAATTGTTTTTCCTAATCAGTAATCTAAGCCCCAGTATCTATGGCCTGTCAACAGACACTTGTGTGTTCTAATCACCAAAACTCTAAACTAAACAAACTAAACTAACATTATTATTATCAAGTAGACACTACAGCTTAGAAAGAAATAATCTTCAGTATAATCCAAAGACAGAAATGCCCAGTAGAAAGGGATATTTCCATGAGATAAACACACCACATCAGCAGCAGTAGGGATCTCCCCACACCCAATAACACCATGTCAGATACCATAGAAAGATGATAGCAGCACACATGTAAGCAAAAGAAATCCTGGAGTCTGTGGTCTCAGGACCAAGAATCTCCAAAGTTCACCCATCAGAGATTTGTTTCCTGGTTGGCTGACACCTTGAACTTCAATTGTCACCAACAGGTCCTCTGACATGACTAGCATCATGGATCCCTTCATTGCATCAGGGCAACCATTACATAATGAAATGTTCGTGTTTCCTCATCTGATGCCAGTAATTCCAGGACCTCACTGGTTTCTCATCATGCCCATGGTTGTTCTTCTATTACCCATAACATTTGGCTGAGGACCAAAGGACCTGCAGGGAATAATCATCTTCATGGCCTGGTGTATAAATACTGTGAGTTCAGGCTCTAGAAGAGCTTCTGTTTTCCTACTTTTAAAATGATGAAACTGTCTTGTCACTGTTGTGAGATCACTGTACTTTCACATTTACTCTTAAGGTCTCAAGAAATCTCAATGTCCTTGATGTGCTGGGTTCTCTGTAGTAGATTCCTAAGAAGAAATGAGACAGTGTGTTAAATGAGTGCTCACCTTATACATTGGCAACCAGGACTTAGCTGTGATCACGGACAACTAAGACAAGACCACATTTCTGTAGGCAAATGCTGGGAGTGGGAGCCACGAGCCTTCCGTCACATGGCCCCGCCAGATCAAGGGAATTTCTGCAAACACATCAGCTACCAATGGTCTCACAGTCACAGATGTGGCTCCCTAAGTGGTGCCACTCAATATATGAATGGACATTCAGCATTGTGGTTCTCGTAGGTCTATCTACATTATAGAACTGTGCTTACATCTTTACAGAGATGATAATTCTGGGATTATGTTTTTCTCTCACAGAAGATTGTCACTTGAGCCCCCAGAGACTCAAAGGGCTTGGCTCAACCTTGAGTATGCATTTGGGGAGGGTCTCTACTGCACTTACTGGAGGAGTTGCCAGTCACAGCTAGGATCATCCCATACTGGCTGTGCACCATAGATACAGACCAGAGTGACCCTTTGCCACCAGTTAGAAAAG